ACCCAGAAGGGAGGAAACTGCCTTTCCATCCTTTTAGTGAGAGACTGGGATTTGCAGTCCGGAGGCTCAAGTTTCTTAAAGGGCCAGGCTGGAAGGGGGATGGGGAAAGCCTGCCGATGGGTTGGATCTTGAACACAGTTACCCTCCAAAAACGGTGTGGGAAAGGGTTTAGGAGATGGGTGCTTTGCTGGTTGTGCCCCACACATCCTGCTAACCACTTGGCTCGCCAACTGTGCATGTTTTCCATGCATGAGTTTTCCAATTGCTGAGTTTAATTGATTCCTAAAGACACTATAAACTGTGAAGGGCCAAAGTCCCTGTGAGGTGGTGATGTGGCTTAGGGTCCTCCAAAGTCTTTTTGCCAAAAGAATGGGTGACTGGGAGAGAGCAGGAAAAATCACACCCTTGTACAGGGATCTGAGAGGCAGTAATGTCCTTATGGAAGCAATCTGTGTATTGTAGTGGGGCCAAAACCCAGTGGGTTTGGTGTTAGGGCATTTTCTATGACACAGCTTCCAGCTCTGCATCACCACTGGGCTTTCAGGGCCCTACTGTGACCTGAAAAGCAGGGCAGATCCAGCTGTGAGCTACCTGGGGAAAGTCCAGCTTTCCATACATGGTATCTCCACTTGGTCCTCTGATGGTTTTTATGGACAAATATCCCATTTTTAGATCAATTTCTTCTCTGTTCTTTTCTGCCTTGCTGGTCTGTTGGCTTTTGATTCCACAGTTCCCTTTTGGGTGATGACCATTAGGGCTATTCTTGAGCTGGCTGCTCACCCACAGGGTGTGACACCATTAGTTGGGAGGGTCTGCCTGCATCAGCTTCTCCTCCTGGGATGCATGGACCTGGGGGACTCCTGCTCGTCCAGTGTCCACTGTGAGAGCAAAGCACACTGGGGGGATGGATGGAAGTACTGCTGAACACAGAGAGCTTTAAACCTTTAGCCAGGGTTGGGAAAAACGAAATATTTCAAAGAGCAAAGCGGCCATCGAGGGCCTAAGTCCTGAAAATACGGTCCCAGAGTGTTTGCCGGTTGCAGCTAAACACACTATGTGGAGAGGAAAGGCAAACAGAAACAGCTTGTGAAAAAGACCATGCTGATAAGGAGCCCTCAAACTGGAGCTGAACTTTGGTGGGTTTGCTTATTTAGACTTGGCTCCTGAGTCCTTCCAGGACCGGGGTGTGGGAAGCCAACAACCTGCTTTCCTATAGGCAGCTCTGGACTGCCAAATTCCACCCACTGGGAAGTATGAGAGGTGAAACCATGTGATAGTCACTCATTAGAGTCTTCCCAGAGGTCCCGAGGAAGGGAGTTTATCCACTGCCTGTGCTACAGGGGGTGAGCTGCTGAGCTCCCACTCGAAATCTGCATGGGAGCCGTCTCGCTGTCATTTCTTGATCTTCTCTGTTATAATCTCATCCTCACGACAAGACAGCAATGGGCAAGGAAAGCTGGAAAGTCACCAGGGATGGGATTTATCTCTAGGTTCCTAAATCAGGTCTCTAGACTAAAACAGCCTGGATCCTTCCAAAGGCAGTGGAAGGAAAAAGGTGTCTTTGGAGGATGCTACGTGCTGCTTATCGTGGGCACTGCCTTACTGTGACATTAATCCTCCTCTGATGGTATTTATTTAACTCCATCAATTATGTAGGAAATCTAATACCTAGCTCAGACTTTGATGTATAACTCTGAAATGAATTTGTGTGGCTTTGCCAGTCACTGCGACAATATTTCTGCCTGGAGAGAAGCCTCCTCCAGGTTTATTAGTGCTGGAGGGGAGTCTGGGATGAGCGGTGAGCGTCAGTGCCTGTTTTCACCTGGTTTCTTTCCCTTCAGACCCAGTTCTTACTTCTTTGTCAGGGAAAATCTGTGAAAGACTAAAGCAGAAGAAATCCTCTGTTTTATATTCCTGGTCATGAAGGGCAGACGGCTTCGTGTGTTGCTCGCTGTTGCTGTGTTTGTCCGCTCCACAGTGACGACAGGACCCTGTGGCCGTGGGTCTGGGCAAAGGCACTGCCACCCAGCATCGCTGTGCAGTTACCCATACCCCGTGCCTTCACCCATATGACGGGACAAAAGTCAGTAAGCTTTGAATCCATCCTCCAGCTGAACCAGAAGAAGGGGAAATGAAGTATTTGTGCAAGATTGATTTCACCAGCATCCCCTGACGCCTGCCCTTTTCAGTAAGAAGAGAGCAAAGAGGAAGCAGAAGGAAGCGTGTTTCCGCTGTTGCATTAAAAGCTTTGATAGGGGGGTCACAAGTTGATCCTCTTTTCTGGAACTTGACTTTTAATTTCCACTCACTTCAAATTTAACCAACTTTTATAAGGCCTCCAATTTGCTAAGCGTTCTTCCCAAACCCATCTGGGGCTGTCGAGCTCTTGGAAAGATGCCTTATGAAACTTCGCAAACCTACGGAGAGACGCATGGTCCTAAAACCAGTGCTGCTGAAATCTTGGGTGCTCCTCCAGCCCCTCATGTACCACCCAAGGAAAATGTGGTCCCTTGTTTCCATCTAGGTACAACCTGCCAGGGCAAATTCTCTTCTAGTAAATGAATGTAGTGTGGTCAAGGATCCCTCATCAGCATTTCACTTTCTTATTTGGACACTGTGCTAATTCCCTTGGAAATAACACAGTGGCAAATGTACGGAGAGAACTGGGATGCTGAGCCCCTCATCTTGGTCCCCAACCCTCATGCTCCAGGTGGTCCTCACCCCACTGGCTAGCTGTGAGCAGCCACTGCCGAATTGCCAGCGGGGAGTCCGACGGCGGCACCTGACCTGGCAGCTCCAAAACACGTTAGTGGGAGAGCAGAGTGGGTCAGTGTCACTGTGCCCCAGGGTCAGAGAGGCACACGGGGACCTTGCCACCCAGGTATGATGTCAGGGTGGACTTTGGCAAAGGGTGGTCACTTTGCCCAGAAGCTGAGCTTGCTTAGATGAAAGCAGAATGGAGACAACGGGGACTGTTGCATCAAAGCCCATCAACTGCAAGCCTCGACCTGTGGGTGTTTTCAGGTGCAGAGTCTCATAAAAAAATATCTTCTGGCAATAACAAGACCCAAACACTCCTTACCCAGGGGAATACCAGTACCAGCGTCCAGTCTTTAGACTTGGAGGCTACCGTACTGGGGTCTGAACCAGGGAGGTCACTACACGGTCTCAGGGATTTCCTGCAACAGCTCTTGGCTGGCTGGGGAGTTCCCAGCTCTGTTTCCAGTATCTGATCACCCTGGGGCAGATGGGAGGGTGGAAGGAAAGACTTCTTAAGGGCTCCATTCCTTTCCCACTTTTTCCACGTGATCTTTAGTTATCCACCCACTCCAGCCTCTTATTATTGAAGAGATTTTAGGAAGGACCTGGAAGCAAGTAGAAAAAACCCCCCTCTAAACCTCTGATAAAACATGCAGATAGCCTGGAGTGGGAAGCAGGAGATAACTAAGTGTATATAACAGGCCTCAGGGGTAAATCTCTAGAGGGTGACTCAATGGAAAAGAGCAAAGGATGCAGGCTGCACTTCCAGAGCAAGGGAAGAGTAATTCTAGTGAGGGACCTGCTGTGGCTGCTGCTAACCAGGACATGCCACAGCAGGTCCCCTTAGCGAGGATGACTGACTATTGGGCAAGTTGCTGAGGGGATCAGGGGATGTGCCATCCTGCGGTAACCTCAAAGCCAGAAGGATGGCTTTGCTGGAAGACATTCAGCAATGCAAGGATAACCAGGAAAAATTCTTCAGCTTCACCAAACACAGCAGATGATATGATGTAATAACCTATAGTGGCTTTACATCCCATCCAGTGCCACTCATCTTTTCTGGTAAATCATGGAGATAATAGAGGAACCGTGAAGGCGTGTCTTCTGCAGCTTCTTGGAGCTCCTTGGGAGCAGATGATGATGCTCTCCTCCAAAAGAGGAGCGATCAGAGGTAAATACAGCCATGCAACAGTTTCTAACCACCCATTTGGGTGTGCTTGACAGGTTCTTTCATAATGCTTTTCCAAGTCTTGTGCTTATGAACCTGTGCAGACTCTCTTCCTGCTAAAAACCTGTGTTTTAACCCAGAAGGGGCCTTCCATGTAGTGCCTGTTAGATGGGGAGGAGCAGGTATGGTCCAGGTGCGCTGAACCTGTATGGGACATACTGGTCAGGAGAACTCTTAGAGCCAAGTGTGTCCAGTGTAAAGCTGAGGGCACTAATGAGCCTAAATGTCCCTAAGGAGCCTCACCTGGGACCTCCATCAACATCCATGGGCCCAGCAGCACATTTAAGCACAGCCTCCAGCTTAGCTGGGCTTTTCAGACTCTGCTGCAGCCTTGGTATTTGCTCTGTCTGTCCCATGTGTGCTGTTCCTGGATGGACCTGAAGCTGCTCCATGCTTTTGTGGAGTGTTGATGGATCCTTTTAGGAAGACTCAGGTAGACTCTGTTGGTGAGGGTACTGCCTGTGCTGGCTCACCTGAGCTCATCTGCCTGCATTGTATGGGGCCATGGATCCTCCAAGGAGCTGCTGTAATTCCCAAAATGTCTACTTCTTCCTCCTGCTTCCTCTTGCACAGGTCTCTGAGGTAGGTGGGATGTATCCTGTGACTCTAGGCTGTGAAAAAATAATTT